GAGGCTACAAATTCGCCAATTTGTAGAAAAGTTTGTGTCTTGGGAACAGGAAACTCCAGGAAGCCTTGTGGGATGCAGTGGAGAAAGGGCTGGACTGACTACTAGGCCAGCACCCTGTAGCCCCTGCACATCCCCCCTCCCCCAGTGCTGCCACTGTCTCTTATGTGGGAAGTTGGTCTGCTACAGTACCAGACACTGATACTTGCTGGGTTTCTGCTGGTCTGCCCGCTATTCCCATGGCCTTGGGGTGACCTCTGTTCTTGGCCCTGGCTCTAACTGGGCCCTCCTGCTTTGGCCAGTCCTGCCCACAGTGTTGCTGGATGAGATTGAAGCTGCTGAGCTAGAGGGGAACGATGACAGGATCGAGGGGGTGCTGTGTGGGGCTGTGAAGCAGCTGAAGGTCACTCGGGCCAAGCCAGACAGCACCCTGTACCTGAGCCTGATGTACCTGGCCAAGATCAAGCCCAACATCTTTGCCACAGAAGGTGTCATTGAGGTGAGAGGAGGCATCTGCCCTTCTGTGTGGGAAAGGTGATATGACAGGCACTCTGCTACTTTCTCTTCCTATGTCTTCCCTCCCAGCTTGCCCCGTCCTGGTTTGTACTGGCTTTGCATGTGCAGGTTCGTGTGCAAGTGAGGCCCTCGGTGATGCACACCCTCTCTTACAGGCTCTGTGCAGCCTCTTACGGCGGGATGCCTCCATCAACTTCAAGGCCAAGGGGAACAGCCTGGTGTCTGTACTGGCTTGTAACCTCCTCATGGCTGCCTATGAGGAGGATGAAAACTGGCCTGAGATCTTTGTCAAGGTGAGGCACCTCTCCCTAGGGCCCTAACAGTGGAGAGAGCAGAGCACCAAAGGTGGTCTCTGGCTACCAGTAGGAAGGAGGCCAACCGAGTATGTTCACCCAAAGAGGGTGTCTGATGGCTTTGGTTGTTACTTCTCAGTTCCTCCTGCACTGAGAAGTTGGTCAAGGCCTCCTGAGCAGCTACCCCACCAGACAGCAAATAGGCATTTGGGGACACACTAGAGTAATAGGGGGCAGGCAGGACAGTACAGCTGCCAGTCAGCGCCTTAAGCCATGCCTCATGGTGTAGGTGTACATTGAAGACTCGCTGGGGGAGCGGGTCTGGGTGGACAGCCCACACTGCAGGACCTTTGTGGACAACATCCAGACGGCGTTTAACACCAAGATGCCCCCCAAGAGCATGCTGCTGCAGGGGGATGTGGGACGTGGCGGTGGGGACCTCGGTGCTGGTAAGAGATGCCAGGGACCAGGCTGGGCCAGAAGTCCGGGCATCCAGCCCAAGGGGAGGGGATGGGGTCATCTTCTGTGGAGTTTGGGTTTGGGAGGTGGGTACTGGCAGGAGGTCAGGAGGGGTGGGGAGGACATTCCTTGGGGCCCTCTCCACGGTCTGTGCAGGGAGCAGCCCTCACCCCTCACTCACGGAGGAGGAGGACAGCCAGTCAGAGTTGCTCATTGCCGAGGAAAAGCTGAGCCCTGAGCAGGAAGGCCAGCTAATGCCGAGGTAGGTATGCTGTGCAGCCCTAGCCCTGTGGGGTATGGCAGGGAGGCAGGCAGGGTGGGGCGCCTCGAGGCCAGCCTTCCTCCCTCCCTTCCTTCCCCCCTCTGGCCTAGGTACGATGACCTCGCAGAGAGCGTGGAAGAGTATGTTCTTGACATGCTTCGGGACCAGCTCAACCGGCGTCAGCCCATTGACAACGTCTCCAGGAACCTCCTGCGGCTTCTCACCTCCACCTGTGGCTATAAGGAGGTGCGGCTAATGACGGTGCAGAAGCTGGAGATGTGGCTACAGAACCCCAAGGTGAGCGTGGTGGGAGGTACCATCCAGCACAGTCCCCACAGGTGCTGCCGGCCATGAAATAGCTGGGTTCCCGGGTCTCTCTGCAGCTGACCAGGCCAGCCCAGGACCTGCTGATGTCTGTTTGCATGAACTGCAATACACACGGCTCTGAGGACATGGATGTCATCTCCCATCTGATCAAGATTCGCCTCAAGCCCAAAGTTCTCCTCAACCACTACATGCTCTGTGTCAGGTATAGCATAGGCAGGAGTGGGCAGGCAGCAAGGCAGCCCTTCACACCCCGTACCCCCCTCCATTCACTTGGCTCTTTGGCCCAGGGAACTGCTAAATGCTCACAAGGACAACCTGGGCACCACCATCAAGTTTGTGATTTTCAATGAACTTTCTAACGCCCGGAACCCAAACAACATGCAGATCCTCTACACTGTATTGCAGCATAGCTCAGAGCTGGCGCCTAAGGTAGGGCCCAAGTGCTGGCAGCTTTGCTGCATGGCAGATGCTCCTTGGGAGCTGTGGTACAGCTGGTTTATGGGATGGGGCAACTTCTAGTTCTGGGGCCAGCCTCAAGCCTGACTCCGGTCCTCCCCATACCAGGTAGGGGCTGTGGCTGGGGGTGGGGGTGTACGTGTGGCATCACCTGTCACCCTGGTGAATGTACAAGTGAATGGGTAGTTTGGTGGTGCTGTGTGGGTAAGTGCTCTGCTTCCAGAGCCCTGCAAGGGATGGGGGCTTTTTTCTTTTTTTTTGAGACAGTCTCACTTTGTTGCCCTTGATAGAGTGCTATAGTGATATAGCTCATAGCAACCTCTAACTCTTGGGCTCAAGTGATTCTCTTGACTCAGCCTCCCAAGTAGCTAGAACTACAGGTGCTTGCCATAACACCCAGCTATTTTTAGAGATGAGGTCTCGCTATAGCTCAAGCTGGTCTTGAATTTGTGGGCTCAGGCTATCCACCTGCCTCGGCCTCTCAGAGTCTTGGGATTATGCCTGGGCTTTGATGAGAGCTTTTGAAACCAACTAGAGTGTGACTTTCAGCCAGTTCCAGTGTGAGAACTCATCTTTCTCAAAATTTAAAGCTCAGTGTTTTGGGGAGGGAGCAATACTCTGGAGCCTTAAAAAGCCACCAGAGTTTCCTAGCTAGGAGCCAGTCCTGCCTTCCTGAGCAGGGCTTGTCCCCAATTAGGCAGAAGTCCCTGTGTGTTCTGACTGTAGGGTTGCAGGCATGCAAACCTGCCTGATTGGTTTCAGGAGTCTCCTTTGAAAGGAAAATCTCCCACACTGTGAACACATTAGGCTTGTCATGGGCTGGTTTGTGTGTGAAACATCAAGGTGGGCTTAGGGCCAGTTCTGATGATCAGGTCTGTCCTCATCGCAGCCAGCGTTTTAAGAAAAGTTCTGGATCATTTAAGCTCTCAGGTTGAGGTTCAGGGTGGAGAAGAGGCTGAGATCTCTTTCATTTGTGGCTGTGCTGCCTGATACTCAGCACTACCACAGTGCCTGTTAGTCTGTGCCCCCATCTGGTGAGGACCAACTCCCCATGTGCCAGTTGCCATGAGAATTAAGTAAGATTTAGCAGTTGCTGCTCTCAGGGAACTCTCAGCCAAGGGAGAAGGACAAGTCTGTCTGAGATGCTGTGGTACTTGTGTGTGCTGACCTGCCTGGCTGTGCCTTAGGAAGGCAGAGGGGCTCATTCTCTGGTCCAGCCTGGGGAGGCTTCCTGTAGGGCTAAGACAGAGGAGGGTGCCAATGGGAAGGGAACTGCCCAGCAGCTTCCCATTTGGCATCTCTCTACCCTAGTTCCTGGCTATGGTGTTTCAAGACCTGCTGACCAACAAGGATGATTACCTGCGGGCCTCTCGGGCCCTGCTCCGGGAGATCATCAAACAGACCAAGCATGAGATCAACTTCCAGGCCTTCTGCCTGGGGCTGATGCAGGAGCGTAAGGAGCCCCAGTACTTGGACATGGAATTCAAGGTGCTATGGATGCCATGGCCTTTCTGGCTCTTCCCCGCCGTATAGGCCCTATTGTAGCTGCCCCCATGTCCTGGGTTTGCCCATACGCCCTGCTCTGCCTGGGGGTGGGTGCCAGCAGGAGGGAGGACCACTGGCTGCTGTGTATCCCAGAGAGTTTAGGTTCCAGCATGCGGGAGGCCTAACCATGCACAGAGGAGTTGGCGCCCCGGGCTAGTATGGATAGAGCTGTAGCTAATGGAGTTAGGGAGGAGATGGTATAGGTAGGGAGGCAGGGCATGGCAGGGTCTTCCTATGCCAGTTTGAAGGGTACAAGAGAGATGTGCTGCGCAGCACCTCTGGTTATGAGCAGCAAGTGGGCGGTCAGCAAGTGAGGCAGTCTGCTCTTCAGGACAGGGGCTCTGTCCAGCTCTGTTGACCAAGCCTGTCTCCAGTGTCGTGACTAGGGCCTTGCTGCCTACTGCTTTTGGGTCTCAAGACCTGCTGGAACCCTCTCCCAATGTGGTCCCTCGGCTTTCTGGATCCCTGCTTGTGCCTGTGCATGTGGAGTGGGGCTTTCATGTGTGGGTCTTTCAAGGACACAAACCTGCTGTCCTGTGCTTGCAGGAGCGGTTTGTGGTTCACATAACTGACGTGTTGGCCGTGTCCATGATGCTGGGGATCACGGCTCAGGTGAAGGAGGCTGGCGTTGCCTGGGACAAGGGAGAGAAGCGAAGTAAGTACATGAGGGTCTTGGGTCTGAGGCAGGGTTCAAGCTGTCAGCAGGCACCTCTCCTGTCACTGTAGGTAGCCCTCCAAGTGGCCCTGAGGGGGCTATACCGCAGCATGGCCTCTGAAGGGGGCCCCTGGAGCTGCTGTTCTGTTCTTCCTGTCTGGACACCAGCTTCAGGCCCAGAGTCTGTTCTCTGTGTGCATCATTTGCATACTCAAGTTCTGGCATTCACTATGGGGGCATGTCAGGCAGGCTTGGTGTCCTTTCAGCCAAAGGTGGGAGGAAGAGATGGGGCGTGGTATTTAAGTCAGCCAGTTTGTTTCATTTTTAAGTGTTTGGCTAGAGTGAAATCCTCTGGAATTCAAAGCCTCCGGTACCCCATGCTTTCCTGGACCCTAGCCAGGGCACGCTTCCTTGAGTGTTACTCCAGCTGAGTCAGCTTCTACCCGTGTAATGCATGGGCGATCCAGAAGCTGGGTTGTTCTGAGTTGCTGCTTTGTAAAGTCCAGCCTCCATCTGGTGCTGGCCTTGATTGGTGCTGGTCTACGACATGGACAAAGCCAGCAAACCTCCTTGTTCACTTTAGACCTTGAGGTGCTGCGCTCGTTCCAGAACCAGATTGCTGCAATCCAGCGGGATGCTGTCTGGTGGCTTCACACCGTCGTGCCTTCTATCAGCAAGCTCTCTCCCAAGGACTATGTACACTGGTAGGGACCTGCCCCAGCCTTTGCCTCACCTTCTGCCCAGTAGCCCACTGGCTCGGGACATGCAGGGGCTTCCACACAGGAACCTGTGACATCCAAGACAGTCAGTGGCAGTAGACACAGGTGTCTTATGCATGCTAGACCCCCACATGGACTCTGCTCTGTCATGTGGGGACCCCTGTCCAATTGGAGCTGCAATTGTCCCACAGTCATAGCATCAGCCTAACTGGCCTCAGGGGTGTTCACGGTAGGTTCCCTGGTAGGTTCTGTGAGGAGGTGCAGCTCTGAGTGGTCAGCTAGCCCCTACGTCTGAGCACATTTCTGTCTATAACTTTTGACCAAGTTGAGTCTATGGGAGACAGGGACCCTTTTCTTGGAACTGGCAGGGTGGAGCAGGTCCTCCCAGCACGCATATCCTAACTGGTGCTTCTCTGCCCTGCAGCCTCCACAAGGTGCTGTTCACAGAGCAACCGGAGACCTACTACAAGTGGGACAACTGGCCACCTGAGAGTGACCGCAAGTGAGTGAGCCTGTTGGCCTGTTGTGTGCTCAAGTGCTAGTGGTGGGGCTGTTTGCTGCATGAGGATCTGGTCAGGGTCTGGACCCAGCTGTGTTCTTTTTTTTTTTTGAGACAGAGCCTCAAGCTATTGCCCTGGGTAGAGTGTTATGGCATCACAGCTCACAGCAACCTCTAACTCCTGGGCTTAAGCAATTCTCTTGCCTCAGCCTCCCGAGTAGTTGGGACTACAGGCGCCCACCATAACGCCCAGCTCTTTTGTGGTTGGCAGGCCCGGGCCAGATTCAAACCCGCCAACTCTGGTATATGTGGCTGGCACCCTAGACACTTGAGCCACAGGCACCACCCCCCAGCTGTGTTCTTAGTGGCCACCATACTGTCCCTCCCTGGGCCGTGAGTGCTGCTTTTCTCTGAAGAATGTCTATTGGTGTCTCTGAAGTCATCTTCACTCTCAGGGACCCAGCCACTACTGTGTCCACATGACTGCTACCATCCTGGTACTCCCACACCCACATCCCCTTCACACACCTCTACACACACTGCTAACCCTTCCTTGCTTCCAAATAGCTGCATACTCTGTCCTTTCTCATATCCTTACCACTGTCTCCCTCTAAGACCAGGTGGTCACCCTAAGTGTTCTAGAACTACACTGCGTCCCCAGTCTCCTGGGGCTCTATAGCCAGCCCATCTGCTTTGGTCATTCTGCTCCCTTTCATGGTGACACTTCTGTTACATTTTGGGAAGTTGTGTAATGGTCTCTCTTTGTCCACCTTTCTCTGAGCTCCTTGTAGGCCAGAACTATTCTCTCTGGGGCATCGGAGCCTCTCCTGTGTTGGCAATAGGAATAAGTGACTGTACATGTGACAAAAGAGTGGGTAGCTTCCCATTCTAAGATAAGTCTTGCAGCCAGGGCTTCTGTCCTGTGAGGGCCACTTGGATTTTTTTTTTTTTTTTTGAGACAGAGCCTCAAGCTGGTCCCCTGGGCAGAGTGCCGTGGCATTACAGCTCACAGCAACCTCCAACTCCTGGGCTCAAGCGAGTCTCCTGCCTCCACCTCCCAAGTAGCTGGGACCACAGGCGCCCGCCACAACGCCCGGCTATTTTTTGGTTGCAGCCGTCATTGTTGTTTGGCGGGTCCGGGCTGGGGATTCGAACCCGCCACCTTAGGTGTACGTGGCTGGCGCCTTAGCCGGTTGAGCTATAGGCGCCGAGCCAGGGCCACTTGGATTTAAGGGAATCAGGCACTTGGGGAGGGATACGCAGGGAGTCTGGCCTCTGTCCTCAGTCCCAACCCCTGACTGAGTCAGACCTCTCCCTCCCCTGCCCACAGCTTCTTCCTGCGCCTCTGCTCAGAGGTGCCCATCCTGGAGGACACACTGATGCGCATCCTCGTCATTGGGCTATCCCGGGAGCTGCCACTTGGCCCTGCAGATGCCATGGAACTTGCTGACCACCTGGTGAAGCGAGCTGCAGCCGTGCAGGCAGATGGTGAGGGTCCTTTGGAGTCTTACTGCAGGCTTTGTCCTGGACTCTTCTAGGTGACAGTTCTGCTCCCTTGTGCCTGTAAAAGCCAAAAGCCATTTGGGTGCTGGTGCCATGGCAGTGCATCTGCCTCCTCTCAGGGAAGCCATGTTTCAGCTGAGCTTTTTGCCCTTCTACTCAGCTCTAAATAGACAGTTTGGGAGGCTTGGAGACCTGGAATTGAGGACTTAGAAGTGTGCTTGTGCCTTTAGCAGCTGTGTAGTCTCTGCATGATTGTGGGATTCACCCTGGGATTTGCATCATATTCAGTGTGATTGAACCATGGCAGGAGCTTCTGTCACTTGTCTCTCCCTCCTCTCAGGTGATGTTAAATCTAGTGCTCCCACTGCCTGTGGGCCAGGCTGTAAAGTCTGCTGTGTGAGCCGGGGGCTTCCTGTTTCCTGCGCCGGTCACACTGTATGTCCTCACTTCTGCACCCTGCACCTAGGCTGTGCCACTGTCCCTTGACAGCCTTGCTTACTCTCTGGACCCTGCTCAGATGCCCCAAAGTAAAAATGTCCACATGTACCAGGGAGCATTTGTGCTTCCTCCAGCCCATCCTGTGCTGCTTCAGCAGGGTCAGGCTTCTCGCTTTGTGACACCCCAGACCCTGCCTTGGCCATCCAGATGTGTGCAATTGGGCTCTGGGGCCTGAGTGTGGGTCTTTGTTTTAGACGTGGAAGTACTGAAGGTCGAGAGGATCCAGCTGATTGACGCCGTACTAAACCTGTGTACCTACCACCACCCGGAGAATATCCAGCTCCCGCCTGGGTGAGACCTGGGCTCCTACTCGGGCCCACCCACCCCACTCCCTGAGGGACAAGCTTTTGGTTGCCTCTTCTCAGTGGCCTGTGAGGCCGAAGTGGGCATTGGGTGATACACAGCCTCTGTTTTTCCACTTTGCTTGAGTTCAAGTGATTCACTTCCTGTTCTCTTCAGTGTCTCTAAGTTATTTGTACTTTTTCTCTGTATTCATTAATGTGTGTGCTTTAATTTTTCACACAGCATTGAGTTTATCCTCTATTTTTTAATCCTTAATGGGATATAACTCATATGCATTTCACCTATTGAAAGTTGTATAATCTTTATAATTTTAGACCTTTTCTCCCTCTAAAAGGAACTTGGACCCATTAATTGTCTCTCTCTGTGCCCCCATTGTTCCACCCTATGCCCCTCCCCCGCCTTCCCTCAGCAACCACTGTTTTGCTCTCATTTCTGTAGACGTATCCTTTGGGGATGTTTTATATAAACAGAATCCTACAACATGTGATCTTCTGTGACTGGCTTTCTCCCCTGAGCACAGTGTTTTCAGGGTTCTTCCACATCATAGCAGGTGTTGGTGCTTCATTCCTTTCTGTAGCCAAGTGACATACCGTTGTATAGACTGGTGTGAAGGTTTTTCAACCCTTTCACAGCATTTGAACCTATTAGTTAAACTGCGTGTAACACTTAAATTATGTTGATCAAAACAAAAAAAGCAAAAAAAGAATATACTGGGTGGCGCCTGTGGCTCAAAGGAGTGGGCACCGACCCCATATGCCGGAGGTGGTGGGTTCAAACCCAGCCCTGGCCAAAAACTGCAAAAAAAAAAAAAAAGAAAAGAATATACTTACTGTACTTTGAACTTCTCTCAAAAATTAATTAATGACCTTTAAAAATTTCTGTGGCCCACCTAAGATCCTCTCGTGGCACACCAGTTGAAAATCACTGGTATAGATGTCTTATTTATCATTCTCCAGCTGGTAGACATTTGGCGGTATCTACTGTGTGACTGTTTTTTTTTTTTCTTTTTGAGACAGAGTCTTACTATGCAGCCCTTGGTAGAGTGCCATGGTGTCACAGCTCACAGCAACCTCCAACTCCTGGGCTCAAGTGAGTCTCCTGCCTCCACCTCCCAAGTAGCTGGGACTAAAGGCACCAGCCACAATGCCTGGCTATTTTTTGGTTGCAGCTGTCATTGTTGTTTGGCAGGCCTGCGCTGGATTTGAACCCATCAGCTCAGGTGTACATGGCTGGCGCCTTAGCTGCTCGAGCCACAGGCGCCGACCTATGGGTGGCTATTTTTAATAGTGCTGTGTACATGTGTGTGCACATCTGTGTGCCTATGAGATTTCAAGTGTTCTAAGTGGATACCAGGAGTGAAATTGCTGGGAGGATCAGGTGTCATCTCATGTCATTACATGGCAGCTGTGTCATTTCACTTTCCAGTGTCTCTGTCATCACCAACACTGACTGCCCATTTCTCTTGTTTTAGCCATCCAGGTGAACATGAGGTGGTGTCTCATTTTAGTTTTGGTTCATGGTTTTCTAATCACTGATGATATTTGTGTACTGATTGGCCATTTATATATCTCCTTTGGAGAAATGTCTATTCAAGTTTTTGCTGAGGTATTTTTTAATTTTTAATTTTTGGGGGATAGGTCTTACTGTATCAAGCAGGCATTCACAGTGGTGTCAACACAGCTCACTGCAACTTTGAGCCCCTGAGCTTAAGCCTCAGCCTCCCAGATAGCTGGGACTATAGGCACCTGCCACCACACTCAGCTAATTTTTCTATTTTTACTGGAGATGGGAGTCTTGCTCTTGCTCAGGCTGGTCTTGAACTCCTGAACTCAAGCAGTCCACCCTCCTTAGCCTCCCAGAGTGCTAGGGTTACAAGCAGGAGCCGTTGCACCAGCCATTGGTACTAGACTCTTAGTAGATTTATGCTTTGCAAATATAGTATTTTCTCCCTTTCTGTAGGTTGTTTTTTCACTTTCTTAATAGTATCCTTTGACACAAAAGTTCTAAATTTTGATGAAGTCCAATTTATTTTATTTCATTTTATTAATTTAATTTTTTTTTTTTTTTTTTGAGACAGAGTATCACTATGTCACCCTTGGTAGAGTGCTGTGGTGTCGTAGCTCACAGCAACCTCCAACCCTTGGGCTCAGGCATTTCTCTTGCCTCAGCCTCCCAAGTAGCTGGGACTTTAGGCGTCCACTGCAATGCCCAGCTATTTTTTGTTGTGGTTGTAGTTGTCATTGTTGCTTAGCTGGCCCAGGTCAGGTTCGAACCCGCCACTCTCAGTGTATGTGGCTAGCGCCATAACCACCATGCTATGGGTATGGAGCTAATTTATTTCATTTTATTTTATTTGGTTTCTATGCTTTTGTGTGATATCTGAGAAACCATTGTCTAGCCCTGGGTCACAAAGATTTAATTCTATATTTTCTTCCAAGGGTTTTACAGTTTCAGCTCTTAAATTTGGATATTTGGTCCATTTTGGGTTAATTTTTATTTGTGGTATGAGGCAGAGGTCCAATTTACTCCCTTTCATGGTGATGTCCAGTTGTCCCCGTACCATTTGCTGAAATATTTGCTTCATCTCATCAAATGATCTTGGTTTCTTGTCAGAAATCACGCACGTAGGTTTATGAACTCTGGATTCTATTCTGTTGACCATTGTGTGATCTGATAAAATCCAACTTGTCTCTCTGTTGCTGTGGCTGCCTGTGCTTTGGTATTGTACCTGAAAAATCGTTGCCAACCCATGCTCATGAGACTTACTCCTGTTTTTGCCTAAGAATTTTATAGTTTTAGCTCTTAAATGTTTAGGTCTATCCATTTTGTACATGGTGTTTGGCAGGGGCCCAATTTCATGTTTTGCACGTTGATGTGCAGTTGTTCCAGTATTATTGAAAAGACCATTCCTCTTTTGATGGTCTTGGCACCTTTTCAGTATCTTTGAGCATAAATGTGAAGTTTCATTCCTAGACTCTCAATTCTGTTCTGCTGATCTGTGAGTCTGTTTTTAATGCTTATACCACACTGTCTGCATTACTGTAACTTTGTGTTCAGTTTTTTTTTTTAAGACAGTCTCACTATGTTGCCCTTGGTAGAGTGCCGAGGCATCACAGCTCACAGCAGCCTCAAACTCTTGGGCTTAAGTGGTTCTCTTGCCTCAGCCTCCCAAGTAGCTGGGACTAGAGACACCTGCCACCACGCCCAGCTATTTTTTTTTTTTTATTGTAGTTGTCATTGTTGCTTAGCAGGCCCAGGCCAGGCTCATACCCACCAGCCCAGGTGGATGTGGCTGGTACTGTAACCACTGAGCTATGGGTGCTGAGCCAACTTTGTGTTCAGTTTTGAAATTGGGAAGGCTCTGTCTTCCAACTTTGTTCTTTTTTAAGATTGTCTTGCCTATTTTTTTTTTTTTGAGACAGTCTCATTTTGTCACCTTCAGTAGAGTGCTGTGGCATCATAGCTCACAGCAAACTCAAACTCTTGGGCTCAAGTGATTCTCTTGCCTCAGCCTCCCAAGTACGGACTACAGGTGCCCACCACAATGCCTGCCTATTTTTAGAGACAAGGTCTTGCTCAGCCTCAGGCTGGTCTCAAACTCGTGAGCTCAGGCAATCCACCCACCTAGGCCTCCCAGAGTGCTAGGATTACAGGTGTGAGCCACTGCACCCAGCCTGTTTTGGCTATTCTGAGTCCTTTCATTTCCATGTGGATTTCTGCAGAAAAGCCAAGTGGGTTTTTATAGGGATTGCATTGAATCTGTAAGGTGAACTGCCACGTTAATGATATCAAATCTCAACTCGTGCACATGAGTTGTATTTCCCTGTGTCTAGAGTTGTGGTTTCTTTTATCAGCATTGTGTTGTTTTCACTGTAGAAGTTTTGAAATTATCCTGTTAGGTTATACCTAACCCTGACCACGATCCTGCTGCTGGTGGGTTTTTCTGCATTTCTCTTGTAGCTCCTAGTGCCTGTTTTGCTTCCCAGTGGGGTCTTTTCCACTCGACAACAGACACACACTGCTGCAACTTTTGTCTCACATTCTCTTCATTCTTTCTAGGGGTCGGAATTCTTTGCCACTTGAAAGGACTGTACTTTAATTATAATTACATTATATCTAACTTTTAAATATTATTGCAATTACATGTTGATGCATACTAAAGTTGTTCCTATTTTTCTGACCTAAATAAGAGTGATAAGTAATGGCTGAGTAGCTCACACCTGTAACCCTAGCACTCTGGGAGGCCAAGGCAGGTGGATTGCTTGAGCTCGTGAGTTCAAGACCAGCCTGAGCAAAACTGAGACCCTGTCTCTCCTAAAAATAGAAAAACTGACTTGGCGCCTGTGGTTCAAGTGGCTAAGGCACCAGCCATGTACACCTAAGGTGACAGGTTCAAATCGAGCCTGGGCCTGCCGAACAACAATGATGGCTACAACCAAAAAATAGCCAGGTGTTGGGGCAGGGGCCTGTGATCCCAGCTATTTGGGAGGCAGAGGCAGGAGACTTGCTTAAGCCCAGGAGTTGGAGGTTGCTGTGGGCTATGATGCCGTAGCACTCTTCCCAGGGGGACAGCTTAAGGCTCTGTCTCAAAAAAAAAAAAAAAAAAAGAGAAACTGAGGCAAGAGGAACATTAGAACCTGAGTTGGAGGTTACTGTGAGCTATGACGCTATAGCACTTTACTCAGAGCAACAGCTTGAGACTGTCTCAAAAAAAAAAAAAAAGGAATGATAACTAACATTTATTGAGCATTTTATTATTTACCAGTGTTTCCCATTTTATAGATGGGGAACTGAAGCTAAGAAAAGTAAATAATTGCCCTGGGCTCCAAACTGCTGAGAGATAGCTGGAATTTGTACCTGGATGGTAGATGCAGAGCTGGACACTGCACACTGCTGCACATGTGCTCGGGCAGGTGTTGCTGCCAGACTGTGCAGGGGACAGGGGAGCTCTGAGGCACCAGGATCAATAGTGCGGTCATTAAGCAAGTGCTGCTCCTTGCTCCCTAGGTACCAGCCCCCAAACCTCGCCATCTCTACCCTCTACTGGAAGGCCTGGCCCCTCCTGCTGGTTGTTGCCGCCTTCAACCCTGAGAATATCGGTGAGCCCTCTCTGGTCAGCGCACAAGCCAGAGGATGCGTTACTCTTGGGGTTGCTCATTTGTTAGGACTTGGAATGGAACCTAGTTGGGGACTAGGTGAGGGTGGGATCATGTACCTGAAACAGGGTTGCTATCTGGTGCCTATAGGGTAGCTCTGGGAGCCCCTCCGTTCTTGCCTTGTCTTCTAGGCCTGGCCGCCTGGGAGGAATACCCAACCCTGAAGATGCTCATGGAGATGGTGATGACCAAGTGAGAGCTTGTGTCTTCCCTGTGGGACTAGGGTAGGGGGGCACAGGCAGGGCCAGGTCTCTGTTATGTTGCATTACTGGTTCCTGTTTACTTGTGCACTTGAGGTTGTGAATCTAAGTCTGTCACATTTGGTCTCTCTTCCCTTATTGGGGGTTGGGGGTGTGTGGATTGAGGTAGAGCCCACAAAGAGATCTGCAGGCCCTACCAACCCACCTGGCAAGCCCTCTTGCCACTGGCATGGGGAGAGGGCAGGCTTATGGGTGGTGTGATGCTGGGCAGATGTGAGGAAAGAAGCAATGGAGGACCAGGTGGGCTGTAACAAGACCCTGCTTGGGGCCAGAGGCAGGTGAGCTCTGCCCCAGTGTGCTGGTATCCACACAGGGTGAGAGCATGATGTGCTTCAGGACCTAGTGTTTCGTCCAGCCAGTGAAGGCATCTCACAGAGTGGTGGCCAAGATGTAGCAGGGCCTGCAGCCATGGCATTGTGGAGACCCAGCCTGAGTGTTGTGACTAGGCCAGTGTGTACCTAAGGCCAGTTACACAGCTGCCTCCTTTGCCCTTCTGAAGGGCTATCATATACCTGAAGGAGCAGGCTTTGTGGGGCTTTAGAGATAGAATTCAGGGAGATAGATTTGGGAATATAAAAAGGAGATGGACTGTTGGTGCCTCCCATAATGCTGCCTGAGCCTCTGGAAGGCCCTCAGGGTAGGTGGAGGCCTGTTCAGGTCTGTTGTTCCTGGCAGAGTGGCATGGAAGAGGTGGTGTCCTACACAGAGGCTCTGGGGTTCTGACACTGACTGGGTGGGACACTGATAAGGGCTGTCCTGCTGTATGGAAGAAGGAAAGAGTTGGGGCTGGGTTCTTTGGAGAATATGGATGTTTCTCTCTGGGATCTCAGCTTTGATGGCTTTGGGATGGCCTCATGGGTCAGCCCTGATGCTCCTGACAGCTCAAGCTGTGTGCCAGGCAGCAGCAGTGTCGTGGGTTTTGACCCTCCTCAACCTTGAACACTGTCTGATGGGGAACAGCCTTTAACAAGGGGCAGGGTAACAAGTCCCCCTTGTCTGGCCCAGCAATTACTCCTACCCACCATGTACTCTCACGGATGAGGAGACTCGGACAGAGATGATCAATCGGGAGCTCCAAATCTCCCAGCGGGAGAAGCAGGAGATTCTGGCCTTTGAGGGACATCTGGCGGCAGCATCCACCAAGCAGACCATTACTGAGAGCAGCAGCCTCCTCCTGTCTCAGCTCACCAGCCTGGATCCCCAGTATGTGTCTGGCCCACACTCCAAACCCTGAGGCCCGGGGTAGCACTGACTGGGATGGCAAGTGGTTGGTATGGGTTGGGTGGGACACAGCCAGACCTTGGGCACAGCTAAAATCAGGACATATGCTCCATTGCAGAAATGCTGCCTCGGCTGGGAGGCTGTGGCTTTCCCTGCCCTCACTATTGCTTTGGGGTGGGGTGTGATGTATGGCTTTCTGACATACTGGTGTCCTCTGTGAACCCCAGAGGGCCCCCCCGGAGGCCTCCCCCTCACATCCTGGATCAAGTGAAAGGCCTCAACCAGTCCCTCCGCCTAGGGCATCTCCTGTGTCGGAGCCGCAACCCTGACTTTCTCCTCAACATCATCCAGAGGCAGGTGAGTTTTGCCTCAGGGCTCCTGGAGACAGAGATGGTGGGGGCATAGCCTGGGATGTCCCAGAGGCATTGGTGGGCTCTGACATTAAGTGGCATCATGGCCAGAAGAGGGGAGAGCACAGCTGCATACAAGATGCACGCAGACTGCATGATGCGCCAGCACAGTGCTGCTCTGCCTGACTTGCGTCTGAGCAGGGGAAGGTGCTGAACGTGGCCCTGTATCATCATCCAGGCCTCCTCGCAGTCCATGCCCTGGCTGGCTGACCTGGTGCAGTCCAGCGAGGGCTCCCTGGATGTGCTACCTGTGCAGTGCCTGTGTGAGTTTCTGCTGCATGATGCCGCGGATGATGCTGCTGCCTCTGGGGAGGAGGAGGACGAGGGTGAGAGCAGAGAGCAAAAGGCCAAGAAGCGGCAGGTGCGTGCTCGCCCACAGTTCCAGCTGTAGCCCCAACCCATGGCCCCCTGAGAGCCCCTTTTGTCTCTGCAGAGACAGCAGAAGCAGCGACAGCTCCTGGGCCGCCTGCAGGACCTGCTGCTGGGCCCGAAGGCCGATGAGCAGACAACATGTGAGGTGCTCGACTACTTCCTGCGGCGCCTTGGCTCGTCCCAGGTGGCCTCCCGCGTGCTGGCTATGAAGGTGAGGCTAGGTGGTGCATCTCTATTTTTGTGTGTTTGACGTCTACCCAGACTATCTTCTAACTGGTTTTCGTGGTAGAGTGGTCTCCACAGGTAACATTTGGAAGCAGTAAGGCTTTATCCCTTGTCTTGGTATTCTTCCCCTGGGTGGTAATGGAAACATTCAGAGAGAGTGACACAGTGAAGTAGAACTATGCTAAATCTTGAAAATGAACAGCAGCTTTTTAAAGAAAGCAGTTCTTGCTACTTTTTCCTGCCTTTCTGTTGTGGTCACTCTGGGAACCAGTGGATCAATCAGCCTGTTTCCTCACAAGCTCTGGGTTCTCCACACAAGGCTTTGAGGGTACAAACTTGCCCCCCCAGGTTAGGCTGTTGGCCCCTGCTAGTGCCCTGGTGGTGGCTGGGTCCAGCTCCACATGTTGCCCGCAGGGCTTGTCACTGGTGCTCTCAGAGGGCAGCCTGCGGGATGGGGAGGAGCGGGAACACCCCATGGAGGAAGACTCGGGGGACACAGACCTGCTGCAAGGTTACCAGTGGCTGCTGCGGGACTTGCCCAGGCTGCCACTGTTTGACAGTGTCCGAAGCACCACTGCTCTGGCGCTGCAACAGGTAAGGCTACTGGAGGGAGCCTCGGGACAGACTAGGCAAGTGGCAGCACTGCCTCGAGGAGCTGCTCAGAACTCTTCTCCTCCTTCCCAGGCCATCCACATGGAGACGGACCCACAGACCATCAGTGCCTACTTGGTGTACCTATCCCAGCACACACCGGTGGAGGAGCAGGGCCAGCACAGTGACCTAGCCTTGGTGAGGGGGAATGAGGGACCTGGCCTTGGTGAAGGGAAATGGGGGACAAGGACAGCACAGGGATCTGGCCCTGATAAGCAAGGACAAGGGCAGCATGGGGATGGAGCTCTTGGGGCTCAGGGCCAGCAGTGCCGTGTCCTGGGCTGGAGGCTCCTTGTGCCAAGGGCGGTGTTCAGGATGGGAGTGTGGCATAGCTAGTGTGCTGGGGGTCTTAGTGCTCTCTGGAATTTGGCTGTCTCTGTCCATTTCTTAGTCACTGCTGATTCTGTGGAGCATTTCTCCCTAGATCTCATGGTGCCCTGATGGAGCCTGGAGGCCTGATGGTCTTTGAGGCCTTTGTCCTCAGACTCTTGTGCCAGCAAATAACTGGGGTTGTTGGGGTTCCCGCTGGGCTCCTCAGCAGAACCATTGCAAATTTCTAGATACTGTGTCTGGATGGCCTTTTCCCTTTTGGCCTTGGAAAGTACATGTTTCTGATGCTTGTGGGACAGCATCTATGCTGTGGCGGGCAGTGGGCAACAACATCTGCTTTCAGGGCCATTGTTCTTGGCCATGAGAGCTGTGTGCTCTCCAGAGAGTTATAAAGCTCTCGTCATCTCTTCTTTGCCATGCTGCCATCAGACTGAGGGTCTGTGACTCTGAGGAGCTCCACTCCCCTGCAATTGTGATCTTAGATGTGCTGGGGATAGTCAGTGTTCCTGTTAGGTGTGTGGTTTGCCAAGGTTGACCTGGGTCATGGAGCCTTGTGGGTAAGCTGTGACTACTCGAGTCCCCAGGGAGCCTCTGAAGGACCTACCCTCCCCCAGGATGTGGCCCGGCTGGTCGTTGAGCGTTCCACCATCATGTCCCACCTCTTCTCAAAGCTCTCCTCCAGCACCACGTCAGATGCTGTGCTGGGTGCCCTGCTGTCTATCTTCTCCCATTACGTGAGGCGCATGCGCCAGAGCAAGGAGGGCGAGGAGGTCTACAGCTGGGTAAGGCGGCCACTCAACGCCTAGGCCCTGCATCCCCCTTAATCCCCCATAACCTCTATGACCCCTATTCCCCATCTCCTTTCCCCATAGTCAGAGTCTCAGGACCAGGTCTTTCTGCGCTGGACCAGTGGGGAGACTGCTACCATGCACATCCTCGTGGTCCATGCAATGGTCATCCTGCTGACGCTTGGCCCGCCCCGAGGTGAGTAGTAGCCAGGCGGGCAGCCCCTCAGGGGTATGGGCAACAAGTCTCAGAGCAGGAAGACCCACCATGCTGGCCTGTAGCTTTAGGTACTTCCCCTTTGCCACTATGTCTCTGTTCATTTTTAAAGTGGAGATTAAAGTATGTCCACATACTTGTCTCAGTATTTGTGGAAACACGTGAAACCCTGTGCATGCCAAGGCCTGCCTGGTGTTGAAATTGTCCACTGCCCTAACCCTAGATGCATGCAGCAGCCCTTGTGCTCCAGAGGCTGTGCTGTCCTTTTCTCATGGCCAAGCCGTGAACTCGGCCTCTTGGCATGCAGGCCCACATGAGGATGCCTAGAAGTGTTCAGGTGCCATCCATGGGGCCCCAGGGCCTGGTGAGCCCAGGCCAACTGAACCTTCTTTGGCCTGGAAGCCTTCCATGTCACTGGCCAACTACTGGAACGGCTTTGCCACTGACCTGATAGTGTTGGGAGTGGAGGGAAGGACAGAGCCCCCCCGCCCGGTGACCCCTGTCAGGAGATAGGTGGAGGTGGAAGCCCCCAGGTGGACAGGTACAGTTGCTGCCCTTGGGAGGGCAAGAGAAGGCTGAGCCCATTGGGTTTCTCTTTGGCTTTGTAGAGCTAAGGGAGCTGGTCCCACCAGGCAGACTGAGCCCAGAGGTCAGGGCTGGACTAGGGCCATGCAAATCATCTGTGGCAAGTGTCCCCATCCCTCAGCTGTGAAGTGAAGCACAACAGGGATATGCTGTCCACCTCTCATGGAGGTTGTGAGCACTAAGTACATTAGTTTATGTAAAGCACCTGACACGTAGTAAATACTTGTGCAGCACTGTCCTCTGAAGCCTTGATTTCCCCATGTGAAGGGAGGACTTGTATCAAGTGATCTCAGGGTTTCTCAGGCCTCAGCACTAGGCTGTTCTGGGATCCTGGGACTCCTCAGATGGTGAAGTTGGAAGCCTCCTCACCATGTTGTCTCTCCCAAAGCTGGTGATAATGAGTTCCAGGAGCTGCTAGACATCTGGTTTCCGGAGAAGAAGCCCCTGCCCACCGCCTTTCTGGTGGACACATCTGAGGAGGCACTGCTACTGCCTGACTGGCTGAAGCTGCGCATGATTCGCTCAGAGGTCCCTCGCCTGGTGGACGCAGGTACTGACCCAGCTTGGGCTCTGGGGAAAGGAGGCCTGGGCATGTCAGCCTAGGTGACTGCCAGCTGTTACAGATGAATGAGGACAGGCTCATGGACTCTTGGACCTCTGGGAGGCTCCTAGGTACCCTAGCATCCTGCAGGTGCTTCTTCAGTCCTGGCTGAGCCTGGCCCTATGCTGGAGTCTGAAAGAAGACCCAGTGTGGCTTGTGCTATCCCTGCCTAAGAGTGGCCTACAGTTTAGTAGTCAGGCCCAGGGACCTGCATCCTGAGGCAGAAAAGAGATAAAGTGGTTAGGGGATGCAGGGGAGGTAGTGGGGGCCTCTGAGTTGGTTCTTAGAGACTTGAGGAGGTTGGGGTGAACTACAGTGAGAGGGCTAGCCCCAGGGGCTGGACAGGGGACCTGAGCCAACATGAGTCAGTCAGGGTAACACCTGAGGGGACTTTGGGCAGCAGTTTGAGTGAATGGGGTTGGTGTGGGAAGTCCAGTGAAGGATGTACACTAAGGAGTCTGGGCCCCCATATTTTGCTCAGAGCCATTGATGACGTCAGTGGGTTGCAGTGTGACCACTGAGCTCCAGGAGGAGAGCATACAGTGGCCTGTGTGCAGCTGTGGGGAGGGGAGTGTGCCCCATTCTGGCCAGGCTCTAGCGCAGACCCAAAGTGATCCTGAACTAGTGCCACTGTCCCACTGGTTGGGATCTCTGGATAGGGACACCTGAGCAAGTGCCTCCCCATGTCTTGGAGGCCACTGAGCAAGCACTTCCCTCAGCCCTTCAGGACCTGGAGCCACAGCAGCTGCTGCTGTTCGTCCAGTCCTTTGGCATCCCTGTGTCCAGTATGAGTAAGCTTCTCCAGTACCTGGACCAGGCGGTGGCCCACGACCCTCAGACCCTGGAGCAGAACATCATGGACAAGAGTGAGACCCAGGCTCTGTGGTGTCCCACACATGCCTAACCAAGTCCCCGGGCAGTGAGACCCTTGTGTGGGTTGGGGGCCAAGGTCAGGTGTGTGGGTGCAAGTAGACTCATGGGCAAGAGATAGAGTAGGAGGGTCAGCACCAGGCACCCCTTTTGGTGTTTGTTTTAAGGCTGGAGAGGCCCTTTTGACACTTAAGTGATCCTTGCTGGGAGATCCTGTAGCTCAGCCTCCAGCGTCTTAGGGTGACTCTCTAGGAGCCTCCCTGGTTCGGGTTCCTGTGGAAAGGGAAGTGTGTTCTCCCCACCTGTGCCTACATGTTACCCTGGCTGCTGTCTCATAGATTACATGGCTCACCTGGTGGAGGTTCAGCACGAGAGAGGTGCCTCTGGGGGCCAGACGTTCCACTCCCTGCTCACGGCCTCCCTACCCCCCCGGCGAGGTACAGCCCATGCCCCACTAACGACACTCTTGCCCAGGGCCCACAGAGACTCCTTGGCTCTTCCTTGGTCAGCCTTTGCCTCTGGGCAGGATGTGGACTCCTGTTCAAAGTCTGACCTCCTGGGCACAGGTGGGGCCTGGAGTCCTCAGGGAATGCAGACCCTCTGCGGGGCTCCAGAGCCAGCCCTTCTTTTTGGGTGATGGCCCTGGGCTAGATTGGGTTTGGTTTGTATAGTGCCCCCCTTTGAGAGCTGGTCACAGTTTGGTCATAACAATTCTGCTTTCTCTGCAGACAGTGCAGAGGCACTGAAACCGAAGAGTAGTCCAGAGCAGCCGCCAGGCCAGGGGAGGGCCCGTGCTGGGACACAGATCCGGGTGCTTGGCCCCGAGGACGACCTGGCTGGCTTGTTCCTGCAGGTACGGACAGAGCCATGCTCAGATCCCACAGCTGTGGCCGCTCTTGGACACAAGTGTTCTCCCTACCTTGCATACGCAATGGCTTTTTATACATGTGCCTATTTGATACTGGCATGCTATGCTCATGTATGTACCCCTACACTCTCAAAAGGGCTTCTTGGGAACACCCTCTTTGCCATCCTTGCACATCCCTGTGCACTTGGCATCCTGTTTTGTTCATGCAGAAGCAAAAGTTTGCAGAGCTCCCTGTGGCCCCATCCCATTTCCACTGCAGGAGGGCCTGGTGAGCATGTGGCTGGCTCAGGAATTCTGTGTCCTCTGAGGCAGCTCTCAGCACAGATCTCAAGGGCCCTGGGCCTATCAGTCCACAATATTGGGGCCACAAATGAACAGGGACATGGTTCTGTCATGGGAATCATGTGAAGGGCACTCAGCCTCTGTGCCATCCCCTCCTTGTGATATCCACCTGTTCTGTTCCAGATCTTCCCGCTCAGCCCTGACCCACGGTGGCAGAACTCTAGTCCCCGGCCTGCAGCACTAGCTCTGCAGCAGGCTCTGGGCCAAGAGCTGGCCCGCATCCTCCAGGGGAACCCTGAGGTGCCAGGCATTGCAGTGCGCTTCCTGCAGGCCATGGCCACCCTGCTCAGCTCTCCCCATGGAGGTGCCCTGGTGCTGTCCATGCACCGCAGCCACTTCCTCGCCTGCCCGCTGATGCGCCAGCTCTACCAATACCAGGTGGGAACTGGGAGGGAGGGAGAGCTCTACCCCTGGGTGTCTAGGGTGTCCTGAGGTTGCCCCCGTGGCTGAGTTCTTAGTTCCTGAGTGAGGAAGGATGCTGACCTGAGGGAGCAGTGTTCAGTAGACAGTGTGGGGCTGATGCAGGTCTGCTTATGTGCATACACCACCTAGTTCGCAATCCCGCTACATCCACCCTGTCTCCCTTCTCTGGTGTGTGGCTTTTATTTATTTCTGTCTGTGTCTGTATGTTTGTTTTTCCTGAATTTTGCTGCTGAACTGTATGAAAATAAGTTGCCAGGGTGAGGACACCTCACCTGTGTAGGACTTGGAAAGGGTCTCTATGGAGTTGTCTGGGTATGTGCGGGGAAAGCAGATTGGGAGAGGTGGGCCTGGCTGCAGGGTGACAGTCAACTATGGGATCCCACCCCAATCTCCCACCTTTTTGTCTGGGTTTTGGGTGCTTGGTTCCTGGTTCCTCTGAGACTGGGAGTAAGGAGTCTGTGGTCCTCGCTGTGCAGGATTGTGGCTGTCTCTGGAGAGCATAGCCACGTTCTGCTATCTGTCCCCACAGCGCTGTGTGCCCCAGGACACTGGTTTCTCCTCGCTCTTCCTCAAAGTGCTCATGCAGATGCTGCAGTGGCTAGACAGCCCTGCTGTGGAGGACGGGCCCCTCAAGGCCCAGCTGAAGCTCTTTGCTACCCAGTACTCAGCGAGACGCAGGATCAGTGACGGTGAGGGCAGGGATGGGAGTGCAGGAGGGGTGGGGCTGGTCGACACTTGTCGGGGGTCCTAGACACTGGGTTGGCATTCATAGCAAGTAGCCAAGCAGCTTGTCACCTAGAGGCCTGGGTGTGATGTAGGCTTCTTCAGGGAGGAAAGTGCCTGAGTAGACCAAGGAGAGTCTTTGCTTTGGGGCAGGGGTCCTCAGACTTTTTAAACAGGGGGCCAGTTCACTGTCCCTCAGACTGTTGGAGGGCAGGACTGTAGTTTAAAAGGACAGGCAGCAGCTAAGCAGGACAGGCAGCGGTGGCAAAAACACCTGGTGGGCTGGATAAATGTCCTCGGCAGGCCATGTGGCCCACAGGATATAGTTTGAGGACGCCTGCTTTGGGGTCTCCTGGGATGGGGCACACACTAAGAGGAAGCCAAAGCTGATGGTGGTCATATACTCTCTTGTAGTTCGAAGCGGGCTCTTGCACCTGGCTGAGGCCCTGACCTTCCATCGGGACCTGGAGGTGGTTAGTTCTGCTGTCCAGGCTGTCATCACCACCCTGAGATCTGGGGAGAAGTGCAATGTGGAGCCAGAGCTGCTCAGCAAAGGTGCTGTCCTGTGGGGACCCCCAGCCTGAAGACAGGCACTTTCTTGGCACTCAGTGGGGGGCAGGCAGTGGCTGTTCCCACAAGGTGCCCAGAGGTCCCCTCTCAGCTGCCTGACAGGAGTCCCTCTTGAGAATAATCTGGAGTATCCCCTAGAGGAGCCCCATTGCATCACACCCAGCAGAGCAGGACATGCCTTTCTGTGCACTCAGCTGGGCTCTGCTATTGGGATCCACACTGGCATTGGTAATCCAGCTCTGCTTGACAGCCTTCCTGACTTGGGAATGACCCAGGTTGTCCCTCTGTCCCTTGCATAGTTCTCCAGGGGCTGATAGAAGTGAGGTCTCCTAACCTAGAGGAGTTGCTGGCTGCACTCTGCTCTGCTACCACGGATGCCACCTCTCCTTTTCCAACCTCGAAGCCCATCATGGTGGTGAGCTCCCTGCTGCTGCAGGAGGAGGAACCTCTGGCCCCAGGGAAGCAGGGTGCAGATGGTGGCAGGTGAGCTGGGGAGCCATGGGAGGATGGGTGGCGACCCTGGTATGGCTCTGGCAGCCCTCCCCTAAATGCTTCCCTCCCTACAGCCTGGAGGCCGTGCAGCTGGGGCCCTCGTCTGGGCTACTCGTAGATTGGCTGGAGATGCTAGACCCTGAGGTAGTCAGCAGCTGCCCTGACCTACAGCAGAGGCTACTCTTCTCCCGGAGGAAGGTAGGGCTCAGGATAAGGGAGGGTCCCTGGTCTGGAGCAAGGTTCTCAGTGGCCACGGCATCATTTTCACTCTCAGACCTTGTGCCCTTGGCCCCCAGGGAAAGGATAGGGTTCCCATTGGCTCCAGCAGAGTCCAGGCCTGGGTCTTTTGTTTTCTTGGCTCCCCAAATGTGTTTGTAGGCTGAGCAGAACATGGTGAGCACAGGGCCCTGCCTAAGGGAGATAAGATTCTCAGGAAGGAGCTGGGTGAAGCCTTGGAGACACCCCCAGTGCATGTGGTGGCTCCAGCGTAGATGTGGGAGAAAGCATGAGTCAACACCCAGAGTCTCCTCCACTGGACATTGTCAGCTGACCTTACCAGTAGTCCACATGCCATCTTCCTTCCTTCCCAGGGCAAAGGTCCTGCTGGCACCCAAGTGCTGTCATTTCGCCCCTACCTGCTGGCCCTCTTCACACACCAGTCTAGCTGGCCCACGCTGCACCGCTGCATCCGCATCCTTCTGGCCAAAAACCGGGAGCAGAGGTGGGTGCCCCTCAGCAGGTCCTTGCCCTCTCAGCCTTGTTGCAGGAAGCATGATGTGATGGCCTGGGTGTGTTTCCCTCTGCTGGGAGCTGCTGGCTCTGTTCTGGTGGTCACGGCTGTCCAGTGCTACTCTGGGTGGTTGTGATAAATGCCGAGCTCAGGATGAATAACCTCAACATTGAGGGTCCCAGGGATATCTGATCCTACACCCCATTTTCTGCATGGTTTTGGAGACCTCACAGCTCATGCAGGGAGTTGCCTGGCATCCCCAGGGCATGGTCGCAATAGGGTGCAATGCTTTGCTGAAAAGCCTGCTGTGGCTCTTCCTGCCCAGAGATGGTGGGCTCCCATTTCTAAGCTGGAATCTGATGGGTGCTTAGACTGACCAAGGCCTTCATTTGACCCCCATGTCCTGGAAGGGTGGTTAACAGGCCACAGTGGCCCTGCAAGTTTATCACCTCCTTGGAGGTCTAGATCCCACCCTGGCCTGCCCCACCCTACTATCACTGGGTCCCTTGTACATGTCCCTGTCTCCCACACCCTGAGGGGAACAGTCACAATAGTAGAGTTGTCACAGGCTACAGCTTCTTCACATGTCTGAGAAGAGCCCACAGTGCTGTCCATGAAGAGCCATGAGGTACCCCGAGGTGTGGTACTGCCAGGCACTAAAGCTTCATCCCTGTGGTCCCTTGGCTTGGTCAGGGCTGTAGAGGGGCAGGGCCAGTATCTGTCTTCTCTATGGGGTGTGGTTTGAGACTAACCCTAGACACCTTGTGGGGGCATGTTGGAACCTTTTGGGATGGGTGTTAGTGGCTTTACCATGGGGATGCCCTTCCTGGAGCCATATCCTGCTCCCTCCCGTGCCTAGACACCCTTCTTTTGCTCATCTGGACCCCTTGCTTCCTCCTAGATTTGACCCCTCTGCGTCCCTGGACTTTCTCTGGGCCTGCATCCACGTTCCTCGCATCTGGCAGGGCAGGGACCAGCGCACCCCGCAGGCAAGTCTTGGGGGTGGCCTGGCCCCAGAGGGCTGGTGTGTCCTGGAGCTGACCAGTGGATGCCTGGTTGCAGAAGCGGCGGGAGGAGCTGGTGCTCCGTGTCCAGGCTCCAGAGCTTATCAGCCTGGTGGAGCTGATCTTGGCTGAGGCAGAGACCAGGAGCCAGGATGGAGACGCTTCTGCCTGTAGCCTCATCCAATCCCGGCTACCTCTGCTGCTCAGCTGCTGCCGTGGGGACAACGAGGGTGTCAAGAGAGTCTCTGAGCACCTCATGGCCTGCATCCAACAGCGTGGTGACAGGTGCTTAGGGCCCCCCTGTCCCAGTGGTGCTACTCTCACGTGTGAGGTGTGCAGGAGGAATCAGATCCAGGGCAGATGGTGGCTTCACCCTGTCTGCCCCATGAGCTCCTCCTGTCTTCTTCCAGCGTGCTGGGCCGGCGCTGCTGGGACCTGTTCCTGCAACTCTACTTGCAGCAGCCGGAGCTCCGGGTACCTGTGCCAGAGGTCCTGCCACACAGCGAGGCAGCTGCTAACAGCAGTGTCTGCAAGGTGAGGGCACAGTTTTGCCTACTCCATGCCAGACTTCCTGAGTGCCCTGACCATGGAGAGAGTAGGAGGGTAGAGGCTATCAGCCCAACATACCTCCCCTGCAATGGGTGGCTTTCAAGGCTACGGATGGTATAGGCGGCTGTGCTGTTTGCCCATGTGGTCAGGGTGACTCCTGTTCCTCACTTTGAAGTAGATGCCCAAACCAGGATATGGAGGAATGTTTTTTTCAGATTATAAAAAACGGAACTAGTGAGCAAAGATAGTGTGTGGGCACCCCTGCTCTGTGGTCACTGGATTCGTTTGCATTTCCTGGTATTGTGTGTCCATGCGGATGCAGTATGTGCCCTTGGCCTCACAGCAGTGTTAGTCAACACACGTTGCAGTGGCACCACAGCTTGTTCTTGTCATTGCTGAGTGGTTTTTGCTCTATAGACAGATGGGTTGGGTTGGTTTATCTACTCAGCTTTGGTGGACATTTGAGTCATTTTCAGCTTGGAGCAAGGACATCTGCTGTGAGGGCTTGTGCGTGGGTCTCCATAGACAGCCTCTGCCTCTCCCAAGTGAGCCACAGCCAGTGGAAGGCCAGGCTCCCTGTGTCCACTGACCTGTCAGTGGCCACCTAGCGGGTCTGCAGCCTCTCTCTGCCCAGTATGACTGGTGAAAGTTGGCTTTTTACTATTTTTTTTCTGTCTTTTTGCACTTGTGTATTATTTTACACAGTTGAAATCATACTTCATATGCAATTTTGGTTCCCCCCCCGACTTATCATTTAGCATTTGGTATTGAGAAGCCAGCTTTATCCCTGTAGAAGTGCTCATCCCAGCGCTGTGTGTCTGAGCATGTCTGGGGTGGCTGTGAGAGTGATCCCTCTGGATACAGGGCGGTGGCCCTGGGCCTTAATATTCCCTTCTTCCAGCTGGACGGCCTCATCCACCGCGTCATCACCCTCCTTGCGGACACCAATGATTCCCGCTCTTCTGAGAACCGAGGGGCAGATGCCAACATGGCCTGCCGGAAGCTGGCTGTAGCTCACCCCATCCTGCTGCTAAGGTACTGCCCAGCCTGGCCCAGCCACCTGCACTAGACCTAGCACTAGCCTCGCTCTTCCCCACTCCTGGATCCTAGTGGGTGTTCCTGTGGGTGTTTCTGTCCCAGCTCCAGGTGTTATAAGAGGGCCTACACCTAGAACCTGACATGGGCAGCTGATGACATTGCCTGGATCCCAGGTGGGAGGAGCTAGGCAGACCCCAGAGGGGTGGGCAGCACTGGTGATGAGGCCTTGGCCCTATAGCCACTCTCAGGCCAGCAGTACTAGAGTGCATCAGTGGGGTGCCCTCCCAGGCCATGCTGTGAGCTGGGGGCTCAGGTGTGGTCATCTCCCCCCATGTCTTGTGCCCAGACACTTGCCCATGATTGCTGCACTACTGCATGGACGCACTCACCTCAACTTCCAGGAGTTCCGGCAGCAGAACCACCTGACCTTCTTCCTGCACGTGCTGGGGGTGTTGGAGCTGCTGCAGCCCCAGGTGTTCCGGGGCGAGCACCAGAGGGCGCTGTGGGACTGTCTGCGCTCCTTCATTAGCCTGCTCCTGGTGGGTGCCCTGAGGGGACCGCCATCTCTCACCCTGTGTCCTGATTATTTGTCTCTGCTCCCTGAGGGAACCAGCATGAACATTCTGGAGTTCTTCGCCTCCCACCTTAGCTGTTTTCTGCCCCCATGGCCCTAGCTCAGCCTAACCTTTGTAATGGTGACAGGAGAATCAGGTCCCTTAGCCAGGGCCAGGCTGCCTACTGGGTAGCCTGTTTCTCCCCTGCCCACCCTAGGGACCATCTCTCACCCTGATCCCAGCCTCTCATGTGCCTGAGAGACCCCATATTCTTGAGAAGCCCAGCTCAGCCCTCCAGACTGCTCCATGCTTGTCACTGTGGTCGTGCCTATGTGTCTGTGATAGGAGCTCATGAGGGCTGTGGGCCGTGGCTGACTACCTTTGAGACTGTTGTGGTTGATCACCTTCAGGGCTGCTGTGATCAGCAGAGGTGGCCATTGTGATTATTATGTCCAAGGTGTTGGCTTCTCCTTTTCAGAACTATAGGAAGTCTTCCCGCCACCTGGCTGCCTTCATCAGCAAGTTCGTGCAGTTTATCCACAAGTATATCACCTGCAATGCGCCTGCAGCAGTGTCCTTCCTGCAGAAACATGCTGAGCCCCTGCAGTGAGTGCCCCCACCCCTCCCACATTGCCTTGGTTTCCTCCCAGCCTTCTGTCTGCCTGTGTCTTTCTCCTGGCTGAAAACCTCGTATTCTCCCCAGTGACCTGTCCTTTGACAACAGTGACCTTGCGATGCTGAAGTCTCTCCTTGCAGGGCTCAGCCTTCCTAACAGGTTTGGCAGAGCTGACCAAGGCCTAGAAGAGGAGAGTGAGGGTGAGTGGAGTGGGGAGGTGTCCTGTGGGGGCTTTATGAGCCCTATGGCCTCACCGGCCCCTGGTCCACTTTGCATGTGTTAAGTACTGACTGGTATGACTGAGTAGCAGCACTCCCACCCCTGGGGACCCCCAGCAACTGCCTCCCCAGGAAGCCTCTGGGCCCTACTGGGTGGGACTTGTCCTCAGTTACCTACTCAGGTCCCTACCTCAGCCTGTGGCTCTCACCTGCCTGATGGTGACATGGAATTTGTTCTGTGCTGGCACTGTCAATGGGCAGTGGATGAGTGAGTGCACCCAGGACTGCTGGAGGCTGGGCGGTTGCTGGCTGTGACAGCTGTTCCACACCAAACTGTTTTGGCAGTTGTGGAAACACAGGGCACACAAACGCCTCTGCGGAGCACGTGCCAAGCCCCAGGCTGTGGCGGGAACAACTCCCTTGTGGTAATGCTCAAGAGAGAAGGGAGAATGCACTCTCCAGTGGGGCTGCTTCCTGTGGGCTCCTGTCCCCCCACACTTGCTAAGAGCCTGCCAAATGCCAGGCACCCTGCTCAGTGCTGGGCAGTGGCCTGTGTGCTCTGGGGAAGGCAGCTATGGTGTTGGTTCACGTCTGTGGACTCCCAGAGTGCTGACTTGCTCACCCTTCAGATGAGAATGCAGCTGGCTCCCTGCCCCTGGTCAGTGTCTCCCTCTTCACCCCTCTGACCACGGCCGAGATGGCTCCTTACATGAAGAGGCTTTCCCGGGGCCACACAGTTGAGGGTGAGTTGGGGATCTGGTGTAACCCACATGAGATCAGTGCCTATTTGGTCACCAGCATCCTGGGACCCACAGGGACTGCAGGCAGTGACTATCCTGCTGCTGCCTTGGGGGCATAGAGGGATAATACAACCTCACCAGGTCATAGGAGGGATGGGTTGTTTCCTCAGGGGGTCTCCCTCAGAGAGGACATTAGAGGAAATTCAGGGACCCAGGGGAACCAGGGCTAGTTGCTCTGTTCCAGGCAAAGCAGAATGTCAAGGAACCCACTGAAATATCCGGGATACTAGAAGCAAGGCCTGGGAGGTTGGCCGGGCAGTAGTTGGGAGAGCCCAAGGGTGGGCTCAGAGTGACCTGTCTTCAAATCATTTCCCCTTGCTGGAGGCCAGCATGTAGGGGCTGGAGGGCAGGGATGGATATCTGGAGTGTGGCACTGATGAGTGTGGCAGGCACCTGGGAAATCTCCTGGGGCCTAGTGGGAGTGGGAAGCCAGCAGCACTGGTACTTTCCTCTTGAGGTGCATAAGGACATGCCACTTGCCTCTGGGTTGCTTGGGTGGGTGGGCAGAGGTCCTCCCTGGCCCCAGCAGCTGTGGCCTAGCACAGCCTGGCCCTCTGTGCCTATCTTAGACCTTTTGGAGGTTCTGAGTGACATAGATGAAATGTCCCGGCGGAGACCTGAGATCCTGAACTTCTTCTCGGTGAGCAGAGATGGGCTGTAAGAGAGCTAGTTGCTGTGATGGGGATATCTGGCAGGGCAACACTCCCTGACACCCTCCTTCCTGCCCTGAGCCCCATAGAGCTCTTCATGAACTAGGCCCTGGCCCAGATGCTGGCAGCATAACTGACGCCAACATTTCCCTGCCATTGTCACTGACCACCTTAAGGCTGAGAGGCTAAGGAGTAAAGAGTTTGGGCCCTGGATGGGGCGGGCAGGGGGCACCCTGGTAACACCCTACACCCTGCCCTGGCCAGACTAGCCTGCAGCGGCTGATGAGCTCGGCTGAGGAGTCCTGTCGCAACCTGGCCTTCAGCCTGGCCCTGCGATCCATCCAGAACAGCCCCAGGTGAGCCTCCTGACCAGGCCCCTCTGCCACTACTGGGAGGTCCCTGGTAGGCCGTGTGTGGCCAGGCAGGCTTCCAGATGAGCTCACCTTGTCCAGCAGGGCTTGGCCTGAGCTCTGGGATGGGTAGAGGTGCCTGCTCAACACTTGTGGCTCTTTTCAGCATTGCAGCTGACTTCCTGCCCACGTTTATGTACTGCCTGGGCAGCCGGGACTTCGAGGTAGTGCAGACAGCCCTCAGGAACCTGCCTGAGTACACCCTCCTCTGCCAAGGTGAGTGCCATCCTGTGGCTGGCTCTTAGGGAGGGCCTGAAGGCACATCTGCTGAGAGCTACCAGATGACATTGCTGTCCAGAATCCTGAGGTCTGGTCACCATGGTCAGGGTGTTTCCAGCCAGCATGGCTTTGCAGGGTCCCCATCTTCCCACAGAGCACGCAGCTGTGTTGTTGCACCGGGCCTTCCTCGTGGGCATGTACGGCCAGATGGACCCCAGTGCCCAGATCTCTGAGGCCCTGAGGATCCTGCACATGGAAGCTGTGATGTGAGCCTGTGATGCTAACCCACCAAGCAGCCTCAGGCCCCTCAACATGGTGGCTGGGGCTCCTGAGGCCAAGCCCAGGAGGACCAGTCCATCAGTGGTCTTGCCTGGGCCAAGGGGAGGGTACTGAGCCCTGAGGCTATACAGAGCTCAGGAGTAGCACCTGTGGTGGCTCTAGGCCAGCTGCTGGCAGGGTGCCCCTGTTGGCAAGCCTGGCAACACCTCCTGGGTCCTGGCCCTGTTGCAAGCAGGGGGTGGATATGGCCCAGTGTGAGGAAAGGCTGGTATCTGCCAGGTGTGGTAGACTGGGGGTCCAGTTTTAATGAAACATTCTGAATACTGTGTGCTGTCTGGTGTCCTGTGTTCCCATCTGGGGTGTCAGGAATTGGAATGAGATCTTGGGAGGTAGGGGGCCAAGGCTAGGCCCCTAGGCTTCTCCTCCCTCCCATAGAGGCCCAGAAGGCTCTACCTACCTGGCTGTCCACATTGGTCAGCTCTCCCCCTCAAGCAGAAGAGAGGAAAGCAAGAGGCACTGGCCCTCAGCCCTCTACCCCAGAGGTATGCTCTGCTGGGCAGGGGCCAGCCTTTTCAGGTCATGTGCAGCTGCAGGTCTGATCACCCCTCTCTCTCACCCTACAAGATATGACAAGAACAAGATCCTGGGCTGTGGGCATCTCCTTCCAGGAGCAGAGTTGGGGAAGCCCATTCTGAACCAATTCAAGCAGCCACTGGTGCTGCTTGGGCTTGTCTTCTAGGGCCCTGGCTAAGGGAGGAGAGCTTGGGATAGCCCTGTGTATGGGGGAAGTGAGCCCAACTAGGAGGGTCAGCCAGTGTCCTAGAGTGAAGCCGTGCCTGGTGGGTGCCCTAGTTCCCCCATGTGCAGAAAGTCAGTGGTCCTGAACCACACAGGGCTCTTCTCCCTCCTAGCCCATTTCTTCCCCTTTAGTTTGGGGTTAGAGCTGTCCTTGCTCCTCCATCTTCATGATAGACAGGCAGGGCACCTTTCCTCACACCACTGTGTCCTCCCAGGCAGGCCACCAGGGGACAGTATGGCTAGGAAAGCCAAACCGGGCCCTCCCAAAAGCATGTAGGATAGACCTGAGGCCTGTGGCCCTCAGAATGGCCTTGGCCTCTGGAAATGCCTGACAGATGGCCCCACAAGTGGACAGCTCTGGCTCTAGACTCTCATGCCAGCCACTGCTGCATCTACCCAGCTGCCCTCCCAGAATCCCCTAAAGCAACCAGGAACTGGGGCTGTGGTAGGGGTAAAGCACTTTGGATTATTCTGACTTGCCCACCCAGGGCAGCCTTCCACCCTTTCCCTGGGAATGGCAATGGGTAGAAACTGCCCCATGTGGCCTCTACCCAGCCATGCAGGACAGTGCTGCCCACCCTGGCCTTCTGCCCCAAACACATCCTCTTTTTTTTTTTTTTTTTTTTTTTTTTTTTGAGACAGAGCCTCAAGCTATGCCCCTAAGTAGAGTGCCATGGCATCATGCTCACAGCAACCTCCAACTCCGGGGCTCAAGCGAGTCTCCTGCCTCAGCCTCCCAAGTAGCTGGGACTACAGGCGCCCTCCACGATGCCTGGCCATTTTTTGGTTGCAGCCATCGTTGTTTGGCGGGCGCGGGCTGGGGATTCGAACCCGCCACCTTAGGTGTATGTGGCTGGCGCCTTAGCTGCTTGAGCCACAGGCGCCGAGCCAACACATCCTCTTAGAGCAGTGGTTCTCAACCTTTCTAACACCATGGTTCTTTAATACAGTTCCTGTGGGTCGCGACCTACAGGTTGAGAACCACTGTCTAAGAGACACCCTCCATATGGGGAGCACCCAGCACAGCCCTGGATGTAAGGCTGGCCCTTCTTGTTTCCACTGCCTGGCTTGTCCTGACTCTAGTAAGCCACCCTGAATACCTGCTGTAGTACATGCTCCAGGTCTCATATAGGTTCTGCCTGTCCCCATCTACCTCTGCCACAAAGCCCCAGAGCCTATTCAAGTATGTCCTCATTCTCTATGTGGCCTTGCTCTATGGCTTTCAGGGCCTGGTTCAGGAGTTAGAGGGCCAGCCCCCACCCCACTGTGCAAATGAAACCTGGGAAAGGGCAAGGCAGCTACCCAGCCAGGGTTGCCCACATGCATTGGCTCCAACACCTTATCGTAGGGTGCAGGGAGTTGCTAGGTCTAGGCACCACCATTTTAACCAGATTGTCTCATACAAACCCACCTGCCTCCCAAGCTCAGGAAAAAGACACTGGTTCATTTTCATGGACTCATGTGCTTCCATCTTAACCCAAAGCCCTAGACCACCTGGCAGAGACATGGCCCATTCCTATCTCATGGCTTCGGAGACAGCCCGGAAGTGCCAGGAAGTATAAGACTGGTGGTGAGGATGAAGTGGGGCTGGAGCCCACACCTGTCCCTTCCATGCTGCTGTGTTTTCAATGCAGCAAAGAAGGGCAAGGGGCTGGCAAAGGGCTCACCCTAGGGAGAGACAAGATAATAGCCTAGGTCACATGCCCATCTTCAGATAGCCAGATTGGGGTGTTTGGTGACCTGTTCAGCCAGGGACATGGGGAGGTGGGTGGTAGCATGGATGGTACAGCTACGAAAACCCAACCCCCTAATTCCATTTGCTGGGGATTATCTGCACATGTCCCCAGTTGCCAGGTCCTATAGAAGATGTCAGCAAGATATTTTGGGGGACTGCGCAGGCTCACTGTAGCTCCCTCTAGATCCTTGGTGACTGTGGGACAGATGGGAGCCCAGGGGCAGCAGACTACACAAGCAAGTCTGCTTGTGGTGAGGTCCTGTGTGCCAAGAATAGGGTGCACAGGCCATGCAGTGGCCATGCAGTGGCCATGCAGCGCCAGCTCTTCAGGACTAGCAGATCCACCTAAAACTCTTGGTTTTAGGTGGACCTAAAATGCAGCTTCTGACAGTGTGACCCTGGAGCCTGCAAGCTCCAGTCCTTGCTGTGTGCCTGCACCCAACCTCCAGCCCCCAGTGGCTGGATGGCCTCTCCTAGAGCTCCTTAGCCCTATGGACTGGAAGGCAGAGGCCATGCGGGCAGCCCCGAGGAGGCCCAGTGAGTACCAGGAGTGCAGCCGGCCTTCCAGATTCCAGCCCTCTTTCCTGCAACTTAGGCCCAGCCACATTGCCTCAGAGACCCAGACTTGGCCATGCTCCCTCCTGCCACAAGCCGCCTCCCCTCTTGGTGCTGCCTCTGCAGGCTCCTGGGCACCTCCTCCTGGAATGTCTTTTCCCCTGGGACTCCTCATGCCAGGCTAGGGACAGTATGTCTGCTATAGTGGGTGTTGACCTCAAGTGGGCCTCCCTAGAGTTGTTGAGCATGTGAGGTCTGACCTCCACAAGCCTGGAACTCTAGGTAGCCATGGTGGGATGGTGGACCAGGCTTGGGGAAGGAAGCAGGAGGCAGTACTCCAGTCCCGGGCATGGGACCCTAGGCAGCTGAGCTCCCCACTTTGGACTTCAGGTTCCCTCACTTTACACCTGCTGAATGAGGCAGGGAAGTCAGGCTAAGGTGGAGTATTCCATGTGAAGTGTCTGGCCTGGGCCGGGCAGGTGTGGAGGGCACAGATGTGTGCTAGTCCCAGGCTGCTGACATCAGGGCCCAGGGTCTGGCAGCTCCCAATGATGGTACCTAGGGGGCAGGCCACTGGTTTCTGCAGCCCTTGAAGTATGGCACAGGCACTGTCTCCATCACAGAGGGCAGCTATGGGGGGCATGGCCGGCCCTGGCAATTGACAGAAGAGGAGCCAGGACCAGGTACCAACAGGCAAGAGCACCCTGTGTGCAGCCCATGACAGGGAAGACTAAGCCTGGACACATAAATGGCAGATTCGGAATTCACGTGCATGAGGGGGAGTCCAGTGGAACAAGGAGGTCTAGTAGAGTAAGGGCGTGTCAGCCAGAGGATGGCGCTGGCCCTGGGATGGACCAACAGACAGCAGAGTCTGGCCCCCCTCTCCCTGATGCCTCTAGCTTGTCACCTTCAGGACCAGTTCTGGGGGCCCCAGGGAGACTGGGCACCTCTATGTTTCCCTTCAATCTGGGAAGAGAAGGGAGGCCGAGGGGAAGGTGCTGAATGGTTCAGGTAGTGTCAAAGGGCAGCATTCCAAGCCCCTTCCTGTGGCCTCTGGCTAATTCCTGGGTTTCCTTTACCAGATTGGGTGGGTGGGGAGGTGAAGTGTTGCCATGGTGACAGCCAACCTGCTCCCTCACAATCTAAAAACAAATGCCTCTGGCTCGGTGCCTTTGGCTCAAGTGGCTAAGGCGCTGGCCACATACAACTAAGGTGGCGGGTTCGAATCCAGCCCAGGCCACCAAACAACAATGATGGCTGCAACC